TTTAATGAGCCATTCGCAGTTTCACTGTACCGGCCGTGTGTACTTAGACATGCATGGCTTAATCTTTGAGACAAGCATATGCTACTGGCAGGATCAACCAAGTAGCGGACCCCCTTCTCTGGGCGGGTCGGGTCGCTCGGGAGCGCGTCGGGGACGTGTGTCTGTCTGGCGCGCGCCAGGGCCCGTCTCTCTCCGTGCCCTGCCCTGCTCTGCGCTCTCGGGTGTGGTTGTGCTTCCGCACGCCCGGCCGGATCGCTGTGAGAAACGGGGCGTTTCGGGCCGGCGGAGGTGCACTCCGAGGCGTCTCATGCCCGGGCTCACGGGCCCGTTTGAGGCGCCCTCGCCCCTCCACGCGGCATGGGGAAGCCCAGGACCGCAGCGCTGACTACAGGACGTCTCGGTCTCGCCTCGAGGGCGCCCGCCTGGTGGTGGGAGGAACCGCCGTGCCCAAAGGCAGGGGCCCTCCCGGGGCGGGCTGGGGTCGCCAATCGATCTGAAGGGTCTCTCGGGGGAGAGAAGGGATGCTGGTCGCCCTCCGTCAGGCTCCCCGGCCTGCCCTGGGACAGGCCGGGTTGCCGAGGGCGACCCCCGCACACCTGCGGGGCTGGCCGCCCTCTGTCAGGCTCCCCTGCCTGCCCTGGGACAGGCCGGGGTGCCGAGGGCGCCCCCCGCACACTTGCGGGGCTGGCCGCCCTCTGTCAGGCCGGGTTGCTGAGGGCGACTCCAGTTCTTCGGCAACCAGGTAGATAAAGTGGTTAGAACGTGAAAGGATAGGTGGAACTTAACAAGCTCAATGAGTGTTGGTGACACCAATGCAGTTTTGATTTGGTGCACTGTATTGTCCAAGGGGTAAAAATCAACTAATCCATGCTGCCTCCATGTAAGTAAACAAGACGAGTTAGTGAAATCTAAGCGAGGCCTGAGATACTCTATTGCTTAACAGTGGCCCATTAGCCAGTCCTGTCTGTTATACTGTACCAATGACCCTGAAAAAAAACAAGTTTTTCCAAATGCTGTTTGGGCCATGTATAAATCAGGCTGAGGCCTACAGTACACTCTCAGTACACTTCTCTGTGTAATCTTAAATCAATAAGCCATCCCTTCACTACTGATGTACTACTTTTAAGAGTTATTTATTTGCTTAAGAGATGCATTACCCAAGGCAACTTGCGGTAACCCAAGGCAAATTATATTAAGTCTAAGTCCAAGGAACAATCATGTAGGTATAATAAAGTGAAATCAAGAAATAAATTAGCAAAATGCCATTAAAGCACAAACTGGACGGGCAATGCAAGAGAGAAGGGGGAAATGTGGTTTGTGAAGCACATGAGCAATGGGACAAGAGGGTGGCGTAGAACAGTAATAAGAAGTGAAATAGGACCCTTTACTTAGTGTGGAACTGAAACGGGGTAACAGAGAACAAGAATAGGGAGGATAGATCAGAGAATAGCCATGAGAGAAAGAGCAGCAGACTGTGTGCCACCAACAAATCCAGACAGATGAAGGGGTGAGACAGGCAGGAGGAGGGGGATGCTGGGGAGGCACCAAGGGAGAACGAGATCCTATTTCTGTAATGTTGACACTTGAGAGTGGAAGAGGCAGGAGTGAGAAGAGAGGACAGGAAGACTCGGGAAATACTGTATGTCATAATGGGGAAGACCAGAGAAGTGAGGGAGCAGAAAGGCAGAAGGGAAAATAACAGAATCAGGAGTAGATACTGCAGACAGGAGAAGGAGAAGGAAGCAGTCATGTGTTTTTGGTAAGGCTTTTAGCCTCTTTTTGTCTGCTGAGTACCTGGGACTTCAGTCTAGTGACACTTCACTATTACTGGCGCTGCAATGTGCACCTATAGTAGGGATTTAATGCAAGTAACAGACCTGTGTGAGGCTGAGAAGGTGTATGGTTAGGGACAGGTCAATGAGCAAGTGATTCATTTCTTTCATTGCGTAGTGCTCATATAGTATATACCAGTTTACTCTATGTATAACTGCATTCCTGCTATGGACTAGAAGAAACTATTACAGTTAAAAACACACAAGTTATTGACATCTAATAAACAACAAAGGAAACACTGCTGAAACAGTAAAATTAATATGTATGTAGCTTATTCATGGAGTTTTCTCTTTGCTTTAATATTCTTGCTGGCAGATGGCATGACTGTTGTTAGACT